ATTATACTTTTTATTTATGTTTTATAATACTCTGATTTTAAAATTAGGAAAGACATTTGATATAACATACGTCAGAGTACTATTCGAGTCACCCCGGCCGGAAAGCTGGGGTATCTACAAGCGGAAAAATGAGAAGTCGCCGTGGGAGGCTTATCAATTTTATTCAGCGACGTGCCGGGACACATACGACCTGCCTGAATCTAAAGAGACTATTCGCGGTGACGACACCCGCGTACTATGCACCTCGGAATTCTCTGACATCTCTCCACTCACTAAAGGCACTGTCGCCTTTTCAACTTTGGAGGGCCGACCTTCCGCCTATTATTTTGAAACCAACACCGAACTTCAGGCAATTATATAATTAAAAACAATATATTCTTTGTACATAACATTCTTATAACTTTAATTCTATTTGTAATATACAGTAAAAATTTGTATTTTACATTAAAATATTTTGATTCATTAACAAGCTCAGGGAATTGTTATAATCAACCATAAAAAATTAGAATTGATTAAAGAATATTAATAATTTAATAAACTTAAAGTAAGAAATATAATTTGAAAAAATAAAACTTCTTTAATTATAAAATTAAAAGTTTTCGTAGTTTGTTTATGTTTATCATAATTGTTTAACGGGTGGCTTAAGAGACGCGATTTATTTTATAGGAATGGGTGCAAGCATCAGATTTGAAAATTACTCTAGACAGATTGAATACGTTCGGCGATGAGGTTTTCGGCGACGCGCAAGTGCTGAAATCTTATTATTATGCGATAGCTGATATAGCAGTCGGTGCGAGATGCGCTTGCAATGGCCACGCCGGAGAATGCGTGAACAGCACCAGTGTCGACGGCAAAACTCGCAGAGTCTGCCGGTAATAAGTCCTATCTCTTAGCAATTTTTTATATATACATATATTCCATTATACTTTGATATATGACATCTATTTATCTTCTTTTTCTCTTTTTTCTCTTTTTTCTCATTTCTTTCAAGGTTTCTACGTACGAAAATTTTTTGGAACCATAATTATACTTCTATCACGGGCAAGTGAGAGTAAATAAAATTATCACTGCGCAATAATTGGTGCGCCAAATTAACAAGTAATTTGTATTAATTTTCTTACATTGATATTACATTGATATCTTCGTACGTTTCAGACATTTTTATCCAGACACAGTTATGCACATCGATTATGATTGTACTTTGCTAAAGATAGCTTGAAATAAGTTAAAACATATGAAAGACTGTAAATATCAATGTAAAAAAATTAATATAAATTACTTGTTAATTGAGCGTACTAATTACCACAGAGTAATAACTTATTTAATTCTCACTTGTCCATGATACAAGTATAATTGTAGTTTTGAAATTCGAGAGTCCATTCAAATTTTACATTGTTTAATGTTAAAAATTTTTTGATATCATATGCCAAAATATTTTTTTGCGTCACATACATATTTAATAGTATAGATTGTGTTACGAATATGATTTCTGAATTTATATTTCTTGAAATATGAAGGTAGATGTGCGTTCGTTCATTAGTAATGCTTGCGATCGTCTGTTTTATTAGTTTTGTGAGAACTGATACTGCTCTCTGCATGAATCCCACAATATACTTAATGAACGTAAATTAAATAATGGAACATTTAAATATTATATTTTGAACAGAATGTTGATAAAATATTTTATTTCCAATAAACTAATATTTAAAAAAATAAAATACAATTAGGATCTTTAAATTACTAAATATAGTAATTCTTGTCATTTTACTGTCATCTTTGAGAAAATTGTAAGCAATATTACAATACACCTAATTAGAAAACTAAATTTATTCGCAGATGTGAGCACAACACCGCTGGTCCAGACTGCAATGAGTGCTTGCCTTTTTACAATAACGCTCCTTGGGGCCGTGCCACAACTACCGATGCGCACGAATGTAAACGTAAGTATTCAGTAAATTGGATGCATATTTTAATTTAGTTTTAAGAGCAATATGCAACAGATTTTGCACACACAATTCCTTAATAAATCTGTATTTAAATAAATCAGTATTTAAATAAATATCAAAACTAATATAAACAGCTATGGAAAATCAATGATTTCATTAATTTAAATTGTAGCAAATTGTAGGAGAGAATTTAAAATACATAAAGCAAACAAAAGTTTAAATATTATTGAGTTAAATAAATAATGAAAAGAACAATTATTTTCAAATTCTTTGCTATAATTTTAATTATTATTCTGTTCTTGATCGATTATTATTTTATTCTGTTCTTGATTTTATTTTTAGTTCCATATAATTATCCAAATAATATTTTAATTAAAAGGTTGCTGTGTTAATCTAATCTAAATATATAAATCTAATAAAATTTCTAAATCAATTTAGAAAAGGAATAAAATCAAACTAGAATTGTGTAATAAAAGAAGATAATAGAATGTAACTGTGTTAAAATGCTGACTCTTGTATTTCTATATCTTTATTCTAAAATGTTGACGCATATGTAATGTTACACGTAATGAAATCAATTAAATTATCAAAAGCCATAATTGATTACATGTAAAAAAAAGATTTTTTTTAGTTTAATGTTTAATAGAATTTTATTCGCAAATAACTCGCTTTACTGAAATAACTACACAAGAAACTACATTATGGACTTGGTTTTTCTTTGTATAATACTGTCCGTATCGAATGAGGAACATGGTGTGCATTGCAAAGACCATAAGCGACTGCACCTTCGTATTACCTGATACCAGCTTTACCTTTTACGTTCATCTGCCGCTCTCTTGAGTGGGGATGTACAGCTTACGGCGAAGGTACACGGCCGTTCAATGCACTTTTGTCTGCATTCGGTGTATCATGATAAAGAGTATAACTGTTCACTAATCAAAATTCTCGAAATCCCTAATAAAAGACATAATAAAAAATAAATTTTCGAAAAATATCTTGAGATCAATCTAAAGAAGTGTATTCTAAGTTGTGTATTCTAAGTGTATTCTAATCACATGAAATATAAGTGACAGTGATCTAAGATGTATAACAGTTAAAGTAACAATTCAATAGTTAGACTCGAGTGCAATTAAATATATAAGTATATGATTAAACAATTTTAATTAGATTATAATAATAAGCAGCAATAAAATAAATTATAATGCATCGACCTTTGTGAATATTTTTATATCGGAAAAATGAAATTGATCACGTTGTTAATGATAGCGGATTGCATACTGCTGTGCACGCCACGGAATGAAATACGCCCTCGGTATTCAGAATCCAGTAATTCATTATTTATATTATATCATTTGTATAAAATTATTCATAATTGCATTACGTGAATTTTTAAATAAAATAGAAAAATGAACATTTTAAATAAAACTTTTATATCTTTGTATAAATTTTTTAACTTTGAACTTCAATATTAAGTTATTATTTAAAATTATAAAATTATTAAATAAATATAATTGAAAATAATTAATATAATTATTAGATAATTAGATTCATTATTTGTTTTGATATATCTCATTCTTAACATCTTCCTGCATTATTCTTTTTCATTGCAATATAATAAATTTTAATATTTAATGTTTAAATATAACGATATTATTCTTGTAAGAAGCAGAACATATTTGGATCTCATTTTCCATTAACTGGTTAACTTGTAATTGGATTTAACTTGATGTTTTATCCAATGGGCTTTATTCTTCTATGATAATGTCATGGATCAAGTCCATTGGATGAAACATCAAATTAACCACAAGTTAATCAGATAATGAAAAATCAGACCTCGGTGTTTCTCTTTCTCCCGTATTTAAAAATTCTGCAATTATTAATCTATTAATTCGACTACTTATTAATTCTTGTAGCTTGCAACTGCAATGGATACTCGGACAGATGTTATTTCGACAAGGAATTATATAAGCTAACGGGTCATGGAGGTCATTGCTTAGATTGTCGAGCAAATCGCGATGGTGCCAATTGCGAGCGGTGTCGTGAAAACTATTATCAACGGTCCGAGGATAATTATTGCGTTGCGTGCAACTGTAATGAAATTGGTAATAATGCTACAATAATATTAAATAATACAAATTATGATGATTGTATATTCGATAAAATTGTGAATTAACATCATAATTTTCTTTATATAAATACTATAACATGAATGAATATAAGGTAATAAATAAAAGTATAATGAATTACAGGTTCGAGAAGCTTGCAGTGTAATAGCGAGGGTAAATGCCAATGTAAACCTGGTGTAACAGGAGATAAATGCAATCGTTGTGCGGCCAACTTCTATAATTTCGGTTCACAGGGCTGTACTTCATGCGAGTGTAGCTTAGCAGGATCGGCAAACAATGTTCCCAACTGTGATACTATCACAGGAGTTTGCGTCTGTAAGGAAAACGTCGAGGGAAAACGTTGCAGAGAGTTAGTGCTGCTATATTATTCAACCAAATTTTTGGAAAAGAATATTAAATTAATCAATTTGCACTTTAATATATTGACTCTCGATATGTTTTAATCGTTTTAAATGAGAAACTTACGGCTTTTTGATCTTTTAGCTTATTATTATCAAAAAAATAGTTGAGGTATTATCTGTGCAAGATTATATAGGACTTCTTCCGCATTATGTCTTAACAACGATTTTAATAACGATTCTTCGATTAGTTTGGAGTCAATTTTCTATTACTGTAAATCTAATTTTTTAAATTAGTTTCTGTTGATTTTGTTTTATTCCTCGAAAGTCGAAATTAACCCGAATGCCGAAATTGATTAGGTGTCGTCCAGGATTCTTCAATCTGGCAGTAGATAACGAATTTGGTTGCACTCCCTGTTTCTGTTACGGCCATTCCTCAGTCTGTCGACCGGCAACCGGTTACTCGAAATTGTTCATTGAGAGTATGTTTGTGCGAGGAAACGAACGTTGGTCCGCGTCTGTAGCCGGTAATCCGATTCCATTGCATTACGATGCACTGACGCAGACGATCTCAGCTACTGCACTCGACCGTGACAATGTGTACTTTCTCGCGCCCGATAAATTTCTGGGAGACCAGCGAGCGTCATATAATCAACACATATCGTTCATACTGAGGATAGGGGAAGCTGGACCGGCTCCTACAGCGCGTGATGTAATTTTAGAAGGTGGTAACGGTGAGCAGATCACACAGCCGATCTTTGGTCAGAACAACCGTTTACCGACTGTTACGGTAAGTTTTTATTTTCATTACATTTTCTCGTAATAATATTACATTAATGTGATTCATCTTTATAGTCTCAAGAATACAAGTTTAAATTGCATGAGCACGTCAATTACGGCTGGCAACCACGATTATCTTCTCGTGCCTTCATGTCAATTCTGTCAAACTTGACCGCCATAAAAATTCGTGGGACTTATACTCATCAAGGCCGAGGATTTTTGGATGATGTGAAATTAGAGACCGCTCATCGCGGCGCAGCCGGCGAGTCGGCCGATTGGGTGGAACACTGCCAGTGTCCTCACGGCTATGTCGGTCAGTTTTGCGAGTCGTGCGCGCCCGGATTCCATCACGATCCTCCCAATGGCGGTCCCTTTGCTCTTTGTGTTCCTTGCAACTGTAATGGGCACGCTGATATTTGCGAGGCGGAGACTGGTAATTGGATTTTATTATATCATAAGCTTCAAAAAAAGAATAAGTCAAACTAAATTACAGAAAAAAAATTATTTTATTTAGTCCTTAAAAAAAAATCGAATTTACTTATTGTTACTTTTTGTCGAATTATATTTGTTTAATAAATTTTATGATTTTTTGAGTATATTGCAATTCTTGCTTGTTCTGATCTAACAATTTCTGAAAAAAGTGATAAATTCTTATAAATATATAGATATTTTGAAGCGTCTTTGGAAATGTTTAATAATACTTTGAATATATTTTCTTCTATATTTTAGGGCAATGTATCTGTCAGCATAATACTGCAGGAAGCAATTGCGAGTTATGTAGTAGGGGATACTATGGTTATCCATTGAAAGGAACTCCGGACGATTGCAAACCGTGTCCTTGTCCCGATAACGGACCTTGCATTCTTCTGGGCAACAATCCAGATCCCATCTGCTCCGAATGTCCTATTGGCAGGACTGGTAAGAATATACATAGTTTTTATGAACACATTTTCTAAATACTTAAATATAACATTTCACATAATTAAAAAAGAAGAATTTAATTAATTAGTACATTTATGTTATTTTCCTTCTTTCTTTTTTAATTTATTAAAAATTATATGAAATGTTCTTGTACAGGACCTAGATGTGAAACGTGTTCCGACGGTTACTATGGAAATCCTGAAAAAGGTCTCGCTTGCCGTCTTTGCGATTGCAACAACAATATCGATTTAAATGCAGTTAGAAATTGTAATCACGAAACAGGAGAATGTCTCAAATGTGTTAATAATACAGCGGGCTTTCATTGTGAGGAATGTCTAGCCGGTAAATATAAATTAAGAATTATTTTATAATCTATTATATAATATTTCTTTCACATAATTTCTATAATATGTAATACGTATTTAATTATGTTTTATATTATTATGTTTTATATGTTAGGATATTATGGAGACGCGCTATCAGATCGCAAAGAAGACGGATGTAAGTTATGTCAGTGTTATCCACCGGGTACTTTGGAACTTGATGATGGAAGAGTTGCACCTTGCGATCAATTAACAGGATATTGTGCCTGCAAGCCGCACGTCATAGGTCGCAATTGTAACAAGTGCGAGGAAGGCTATTATCATATTGCGAGTGGGGAGGTAAAATCTCCTAAATTAAAATAAAAACAGTCGATTTTAATAATAATTAATATAATAATTTGTTAAATTACTCATCAAGTAACGTTAATTTAATTAATTTGTTTGTCTCATAAAAAATTTATATCTTTGTGTTACAGGGTTGCATACCTTGTAATTGCGATCTTGAAGGTTCTTACAATCGCACTTGTGACCCGATAACAGGACAATGTCAGTGTCGACTTGGAGTAACGGGTCAACGTTGCGATGCCTGTGAGCCTTATCAATATGGATTCAGTCGCGAGGGCTGCAAGCCTTGCGATTGCGACAGTATTGGATCACAAGATTTGCAATGTGATGCAAACGGACAATGTCCTGTAAGTGCCTACATAAAATTAGATAGTTAATATAAGTAAATTGCAGCAAAATGAGTGTGATCATTAGATTTTAAATTTTATAAAATTATATTTTAAATAAAAAATGGTTATTCAGTTCCTTGTACATATTAAATCATAAACTTATATAAAAATTTTATATATTTTTTATTTTTTTGGATTTTTATTTTTAGGTAATAAATTTACTTCTTTGTATTTTTTGCTTAATATTTTTGACAATTATTGGCAGTGTTTGACGAACGTTGAAGGCAGGCGATGTGATCGTTGCAAGGAGAACAAGCATAACCGTCAACATGGCTGTGTTGATTGCCCCGACTGTTACAATCTTGTACAGTCAGCAGTAAATGATCACCGACGACGTTTGGCTGAGCTCGAAGACACTCTTTATAAGATCAACAGCAGTCCCACTGTCATCAAGGACTCGGATTTCGAGAAAGAGCTCAAGAACGTTCAAGATAGAGTAAAAACGTTATTGACTACCGCCAAGCAAGGATCTGGCAGTAAATATTATTATTATTATTATTGTTATTATCGTTATCGTAATCACATCTGAATCTATTTATTTAAATTGAGAATGAAGTAATAATTATAGTTAAAAAAAAAAGTCATTAAAGTTAAATAATGAATCTTTAATATTATTTATTATAATAAAAACTATAAACAGCTGATGTGATTTCGTTTATAATATTATTGTAAAAGTAAAAACTGATATCCCCTTTAGGTGAGAATAAAACATTGGTAGAACAGCTAGATGAGCTGCGTGAGCAATTAAATAAGATTGACAAAATCTATCAAACCGTGGACGTCACAGCAAATGATGCACGTGATATAACTGAGGAAGGTTTAATCAGTATTGATGAGGCAGAAAAAGTCTTGGATAAAATTTATGAGCAGTTAACGGTAAATAAAAATTTGCTTCTTTATAATAATTTCGAATATTGACTATACATCGAAAAGTTTTAAAAGATTTAGGAATGCATTACTTGGCAACATAATACTTATTAACATATATAAGCTGCAAAATTTCTTTTATCTCCCTCCTCCCCTTTGTCTTTATTTTGCATAAAACATTTGATTGCAATTTTATGAATAATTTTTATTCTAAGTTATTAAGTTATAGTTTTATAATTTTACACTATTATGAATGACAGGAGGCAGAAGACTACTTGGGTACAGATGGAGCAAGTGCTTTAAGTTCAGCGAAATTGCGTGCTGAACAAGTCGGCCAACAAAATCAACAAATGACATCGATCGCACAAGAAGCGCGTGTACTTGCTGAAATGTATGCATTTTACATTGTAAATATGAGTAAATTTTTAACTTATTTTATGAATAAAAAAAGTTTCTAGAAAATTAATTCAAATTTCCAATTTTTTTTATTTGTATTAATAACAATAAACTAATTCTTTATTTTAAAGATCTTTTTAAAAATAAAAAATAAAGAATTATTTATAAATTATTATTATTAAAAAATTTTTTTTGATTGATCTAGTTTTATTAAGAAATTTTCGATGATTATATTGTTATATGATATTATTATTCAATATTGGAGTTCTATTTTTCTAGAAATACGAACGAAGGCAAGAAGCTTCACATGTTAGCAGAGCAGGCGCGAAATACGACAATGGAGGCTTACAATCTCGCAAAGCAAACAATATCGAAATATTCCAATATAACGTGAGTGATATTTTCTTTTTTTCTTTAATTTTATTTCTTAATATCTGCAATCTTTTTTTGTAATCACTATATCTAGAATATAAAAAAATTCTGCGCAGGGATGAACTAAGGAATCTGGAGAACAAACTAGCGCAATTGGATGATCGTATGGATGAAGTGAAGAATCTCACTGCTATAGCAGCTACTAAATCTTCAACTGTTTCTCAAGAAGCGTTAGATTTGCTGATTCTCGATTTAACGCTTCCTGCGGTCGATATCGAGCAATTGCGACAGCAAATAGAAAGCGTTAGCAGTGAGGTAATTACAAAATATTATAAATAAGTATACAGATAAAAAATTATAATATATAAATTTGAATAAAAAGATATTAATTAATCTAAAAATGATAATAATAAAGGCTAGTACTAATACAAAATAATCTATATTTTATGAAATAGAGCTTGCAGATAAAAGAGCAGGCACAACTTTTATTGGAGCAAAACGAGAATTTTATCAAAGAAATGACTGAAAAAATTAAAAAGAGCGAAGAACTTTTAGAAAGAGCTCAAGATCAACAAGCTGCAACTGCCGAACTGTTAGCTGAATTAGATGAAGCTAACGAGACGGCAAATGACGCTGTTAAACGTGGCGATCAGACACTGAAAGAAGCTCAGGAAACTTTAAAGAAATTAGGAGGTAAGTTTAAAAAAAAAACTCTAGAAATGTTTCATTCTACGAAATTAGAAAAACGAGAAAATTTACAAATTTATTCTTAAAATGTTTTTCTTTAAGAAACATTTTTTATAATTTATTATAATTTTTGTATTGTATTAGAATTTGATGCTGAGGTGCAACGTGAACGTGTTAAGGCTCAGAGTGCTTTGAAGGACATCCAGAAAATTGAAGAATTGATCAACAATGCTAATATGCAAGCAATAGAAACAGAGAGAGTGCTAAATGGATCGGAGGGTAACGCTAAAAGTGCACGCGAAATTGCGCAAAACGCTCAGGTATAATTATTTAAATTAATTATATATATATAAAATATTAAATTATATAGTAAATTTATTATTGTATTTTTCAAAATTAAAATTATAACTTTTATATTTTTAGTTTTATTTTTTTATATTTATTTATTGATATTTATTTTTATATATTCGTAATACTCTTATCTATTATATGTATATGAATTATTTTTTTATCTCATACATATATTATTATATGATAATATATTTATATCATAACATTTTATTTATTATTACAGACTTATGCGGATAGAGCAAGTACTAATGCGAACGAAATCAGAGTGGAAGCGAATAAAACTAAAATAGAAGCTTTACGTCTCGGAAACGAAGCTGAGAAGTTGCACCTCCGAGTTGATACTACGGATTCGATGATCAGACAGTATGAAATTCAGATGGCTAAGGACGCTAATATTACCGCCGAGGTAAAAATTTAATTAAATTAGTTAAGAGACGGAAAAAAGAGTAATGGATAAAATATTGTTAATTAATTAATCGATAAAAGAACCAGACCTATTTTTTGTAATTCAATTATCTCTCAATTAAAATTAAAACAAATATTTAAAATTCTAATTTTTAGGCAAACTATAAAGTTGGCCAAGCGAAGACCAACGTGACTCTGGCATCGCAACAAGTTGATAAAGCTTTATCCGAAGTTGCCGCAATTATCAGGGAGCTCGAGAATCTACCAGAAATCGGTGAGTTCTAAAATGGAGTTCCTTCAATCATTTGATTTTTAAACTCCAGATTAATTTATCTCTAACATATAGGTATAAAAACTTATTATGAGCGCTGTGTTGTATAGTCATATTAAATATTAAATATATATTATTAATGATTCGTATTACAAAATTCAATTCAATATTTTTTCTTATGTAAAGAATAAACTTTAATTTTGCACTTTAGATGATGCCGATTTGAATCGCTTAGAAGAACGTCTGGTTGCTGCTGAGAAAGAAATAAAAGCCGCAAACCTGGATCAGCGGATCCGTGCATTGACGGATGCGAAGAATCTACAAACGCAATGGGTTAAAAATTACGAAGATGAAATCAGCAGACTGCGAATCGAAGTGGAGAATATCGATGATATTCGAAAGGCTTTACCAACTGATTGTTATCAGCGTGTCCGTCTTGAGCCTTAAAATTTATTCCCTTACGTCTTATTCATTTTTGTGTCATTTTTTTAGAAGTATATATTATAAGCTATATATAAAACATTTTTCTATGTATCCTTAAGTTAAGACTCAAGGATTTTTAATTTTTTTTTTTTTAGATTGAGAATCTTTTTTTTAGATTATTAAAACCATTTTTTTTTTGTTAAGAAAAGATATTAGTAGAATTTTAGTACGTAATATTATTTGAAAATCCAGATTAGTCTCTTGATTTTCCAGTAATAAATAAATTTCTTAAATAATAGGATAAAAATGACCAAGTTTTTAAAGAAATTTACTTTATAATTTTAGAACAAATATACTTAATGATAACTTACATAGATTCTTAATAATAAAGATTTTGTGATTCAAGGATATAATTTAGAAATTATTTAATAGACTTTTGATATATTTTTTCTGAACAAATAAATTTTTATAATTCCAAACGGCAAGTTTCTTAAATAATTTATGTAATGATTAAAAAGCATTTTGCATATTAAGTTAGGAATAAATTTTGTGCATAGACATACATATGCGCACAGTGGCAATGACAAACATTTCATACCAAAGATTCTGTTGTAGTATATACATTTGGATTTATCGTCATTTATCATTCAATTTGCATTTTTGCTTTATTATATAATTGTTATAATGACTATTAATTATGTATAAATATGTATATAGATCTGTATACATCCGTAACATGTAACTGCCATGTCAATGCATGTTAATGTGTTATTTACAATGATCTAGAACTTAAGAAAATAATTATGTTAATTAGAGATGCAATGGATATCCAATAGCAATTTATCCGAAATCCGGTTGGATAGTTTAGTTATCGGCCGGATTGTAAAAAAGTCGTTTTCCATAATTTGAATAGAAATTATACATATTCAAAATTTTAATTTTCAAAATATTTTATATATATATCGGACCAATCTATAAACTACATACATATTCTTTTATTATGTTTAAACGTTAATTAGCATGTATAATGTAACATAATTAAAAAATTAAATTAAAATAATTTTTATGCCTTTATTCTTTGTTTGTGTATTACATTTTTGTTACATATTTTATTTTTTAAGTATTTTATATTTTTTATAAGAAATATGAGCATTTCTGCATTATTAGGCAATATGTTTCTATCTTCTGTATAAATATTAAATTTTTATAGCATATTTATATTTTACATAAAAAATTCTGTTCATTTTAAAAAAGAAAACAATTAGATTTTCAAGTTTTTAATCTCTTCGTAAAATCCGTTATCCGACTTGACCGGACAAGATCCGATATCCAATTATCTGACAAAGCATTATCCGTTGCATATCCAGTATCCGACAAATCATTATCCGTTGTATCCCTAATGTTAATTTTAGAAGTGTTCTTCGGCCTTTATAAAATAGTGGAACAATGAAAAAGAGAGAGTAACGTAAATAATCAAAATAGTATAATAAAGCTATTTCTGGAATAATATAGAGATAATATACTCGATAAACGTTAAAATCCGTTTTTATATATTAAAATAAGAATAAAATAAAGATCTATTTTCGCCTATAATATTCATTGAAAGACATTGAATAGAATATATATACCTACACGATTTAGAATAAATGATCACTTCGTAGCATTTAATTATAGTCATCTATATTGCTGAATATTGAAATTCCTAATCACGCAGAGACTAGAGAATTCACGTACGGATTCTATTTTTATAATAGGCAAGATAGATAAAAATAAGAGAGCATTTTTATACGAGAACATTCTACAAATTGTAACGTTTGAAGACAATAAATATCTCGAAAGTAATTAAAGGATTAATAATATCTCATTAATTGTGCATCTATACAAGAACAAGTATTAGGTTACTGTTATGCAACATTCATTCATTCCTTCTTTTAACTAAACAATATTATTTCCATTTTTGCAGTTATTCACGAAGTTGATACATGCTTATAACTTCTATACCATTGAAATAATAAATTTGGAAGGTTAATATATGCATATCTGTAATATTTTAAATTTTCGATCAACTTCGTAAATTACTATATATTCTTATCTTTTAAACAAAGAAGAAACATGTCTATAATTGAAAATGTTTTGTTAGCGAAGAAAAACAATTTTAATATATTTTATATTACACAACACTATTATAATTACTATTATAATATATGATTGCTTAAATAGTTTATATAGGCAATTATATAGAAAATACTATTGCACTTATCATTGGTGAATGACATTTAAGAGAAGATCATTATAAATTATTTTAACTCTGTATTTATTTCTAGTATTCATAAAATCTCGCTCTATCAGTAATAGGTCAAACGGACTTAGATTATATTTAAAGCTACAAACGAAATTATTATCGAAGGAAAGGAGGAAAAGGGGAAGAAGCTAGAGGAGACGAGAGATGATTCATTTAATTATAAATAAAATGATTAAAAACACCAATATAGCAGTCAACACTCCAATGGCTACCCATTGTCCCCGATCTAAAACAAACGGAAAGTAACATCACATGCGTCACTCGAGACTTCTTACGAGATCAATGCGAATCATTTACGAGATTAAATTGTGATTATATTTCTATAAAAAAAAAAAGATACTCTTATCGTTTAACAATAATCCTGACTATAGACAAAGATTACATCAAGATTTTGGAATAATTTTTCATATTTTGTTTTTTTTTTACTTTGTCCATAAAAAATGTGGCAAACATTCTTTATTAGTTCATTTTAAATATGATAAAATTATATAAATTAAATAAAATCCATATCGTTTTAATGAGATCAATTATAACATTTACATAATAACTCACGAAATTATGTGTGATCAAATGTATTAAAAACTTCACGAACTATTTAGAAACGTAGCACATATTATTATTAATTATTATTATTACATCCTTTTAGTATATACTTAAATAATTTTTTATAGAATTTTTAAAACATTGGACTAGAAATATAAATAGATAATTTCGTGAGAAATTGTAGATAACAATTTAAAAAAAATTAAGGAAATAGGAATATTTACAGTTGTTTACAGCTCACAATACAAATTGGTTCTTATATTTTATTCGTCAATGTATTCTATATTTTTCTTTTTTCACAATTGGTCGTCGACGAGAAAAAAGAGATAACAATTTTTACTACGTCTTCATTCAATTACATATACAATCTACGCTCTCCTTCTCAATTCGCACATATATATTATTTAACTGTCTCATACAACTGTTTTCTCCAACAAAGAAAAATATATAATTATTATTACGTGTGAATGCGTATATGTTTTAACACATTTTTCTTTTCAATTTTGAAAAGTTCTCACTCTGTTTATGAAGAAGTTATATTTCTTCAAGATAATCTCTAATAATTTATATAAGATTTCTTTTTCTCTTTGAATTTTAATTCTGAAACAGATTCAAATCGCTTCATAATTTTATAATTTATATATTTATAGATTTAAACTATTTAATATTTTCTTAAATGTTTAAATCTTTAGGAAGATTTGATTCCTTAAACTTTTAATATTACATATATTTTACTCCAAGATTTAAAAAATTTTATTTTGTCGTACCTTTAAACTTTCTTAATTCTTTGTCTTGAAAAAAAGATTCTAATTTCTCAAATTACATGTAGTTTTTTAATTATTAGCTTTTTAATTTTTTAATTTTTCAATCGTTTGTCATAATTTATTTTCTCTAAAATTTTAATCTTTTTAAATCTTTATCTTTTCCTAAATTATTTACTTGATTTATGCATTTATTTCTTCAATCTTTCCGGATATAGAACTAAAATATATTTCGAGATTATCCTGTACATTTCTTCAATGTTTAAGTTTATAAATAACCGTACACTATTCTGCAACATACAATTCTACTAACAATAATCCCTCGAAGATCTGGTCCATCCTGATTTTGATACTATACTCACATTTGTCAAAAGAGGGCTCAATATCTTTGGTAATTATAATTATAACAAACTACGCAAACTTACGTAGCAACAGTTAAAATTAGTTAGGTCTCACGTATTATAATACTTTGTTCTCTAAAATTTACATCGGCTGATATAATATATTTATCTATTCATAATCTATGCCCCAAAATGCCACTCGTCTGCATCTAATTAAAGGATCTTAATTTTTTTATATTATCTTCACTTTATTTCTACTTACAATTAGTGCTAATAATAATTAATGAAAAAGGTATAGTAAAAAATGCAACACATGATTAATGTCATTAAATGCTAAAACAAAAAATGTTAATAAAAATTTGAATTATTTTTTTTAGTAAAAATTATAAAATTAGTCAATTATTTACTAAATTTATCTAAATTAAATTTCTAAATAGTAGAATAAAAAAAAGGAAGCTATTAAATTATCTTCAATTATTAAATATTATCTGTTTAAAATAGTTACAATTAATATTAGCTAATTATTAGCCAATAAATTAGTGCCAAAATTATTACAAATTTCTTAATTTTAAAATTACAAAGGAATATTAATTAATAATAATAAAATTACTATTACAATATCAAATAAAAAAAAATTAAAAATGTAATTAACAACATACAATTATTAACATAGTAGCAAAAATAATGTAACTGCTTTTTAAAAATAATTTAGACATAATTTAGTAAATAATTTCATAGAACAAATTGTGATATTAGTCCAGGTTATACGACAGCAAATTTTTTGCAATAATATATTACATACATTACATATAGGCTACCCATGTGCAACATCTCCCTCCTTTCAACGATAATTTTTAAACAAATTTATGAATATTTTTATAATTTAATAGGAGATTGTAAATCTCTCTCTTTTAAATTTCTAAACATTTCTAAAATTATATTTGTTACATAAAACTCGAACAAATTGCGCTACAAATAGAATTAAGTACAAGTAGAATTAAGTGTACTTTTCAGATTTTAAACAAGCTTTTTCTTCATCTAAACAATAATCTAAAGAATAATTGATTTATTAAAAACAATTCAATGACGTCAATAAAAAGTACTGTAACATTTTATTTGTATCCTCTTTTTACACATATATGTATGTATTTCATGTTTTATACATATATATATATATATAAT